TAAAGTATTTCTGACTCTGATTCCTGGTTGATGGGACAGGTGTTGTGAATGAAACGGTGCCCAGCTTGAAAGAGCTTCTGTGTGTCACTGAATGTGAGCATTGATGACTGAAAGACATCTTCTGCCTCCATTTATCTGTTTACTACAGTGTGTTGAATTCATGTTAATGTGGATTTAAAGAAATTTCAATTAATGGAAAGAATTGCAGGGGGATATAAAAAAAAGTCTAATCAACCAAAACTTTTGTGACTGTTGAAGACCTCCGGAAAAACTGATGGTGAAGCTGTAACAGATCTACCTAAGAGATTCTAAAGTAAACTTAAAGTATACTTTTGTAAACACTTTTTATACTTCTCAATGTAAGTCAAGTACACTTGACTCTACTATTGTTAAGTATATGAAATAAGTAAACTCTAAGTGCACTGCCTGATTCTAAGTATGAAATTAGTGCACTTTTAGTATGCTTGAATAAACTACTTTTTGCTACTAGGATTTTGGATAAACTTGACAAAAGCAAGGTGTTTCCAGAGGATGATGAAAATCTTGGTTATGCAAATAGGTATGAGATCAAGTTAGCAGATAAAGCAACTGTCAAACAACCTTATAGTCGTTTAGCTCTTTAAAAGTACAAAGAAGTACAGGAACCAATTTCTTTACTTTTATAGGAGATATTTAAAGGGCCTACTCCTCACCAGTATGGTGTTCCACAAAGCCGCTGACAGCTTTGGCTTATAATTAGACGTTCAATCTCAAAACTCAGAGCAATACGTTTCCCTTTCTTCACAACAATAACAGTTCTGATGCTTTGAAAGGTGCAAAAACAATTCTTGACACTAATCTGGTAAGTGGGTATCACCAAGAGGCCATGGATAAGGAAGATAGATGTAAGGCTGCTTCTTTCGAGCTTTTCTGGGCTGTTTTAGTGCTTTAACACACTCGTGGGGTATGTGATGGCCCTGCAATGTTTCAAAGATAGCTGCAGGTAACTATTGCAGTTCTCATCAACATCTGAGTACCTCTTGGAAAAGTTGGACATAGATTATGAATGTTTGAGGTACACAGGGTTAAAGGAAAAGTAGGTGGAATTTCATTTTTTGCCAAAGGAAGGTAAATCCTACGTTTCTGCAGAGGGTGTTTTAACAGATCCCTCCAAAAGCAGCAGTAATGGAATCACCTTTTAACTTTAAAGAAATGCAATCATTTCTCAGCCCATATACCATACAAGATATGTGGTCGCTTAAAATGGATGTAGCCGCACTGAACTAAGAAGCATGATCATCTACATGTGTTTGGTTTTAGACCCAAACATTGCCTGACATAGTGCCAGAGACCCATTGATGTAAAATGTGAATATTGTGTGTTTTATAGGTATCCTGTAGGGCAGAATTTCTTAATCCTGATCCTAATGGCAAACTTTACTACATGTTTCTCTGCCCCTCCACACCTGAACTTAATAAAAGGTCATCAACAGCATTTTGTAGCCTTAGGGAAGACACATCTAAGACATCGAGGAAAATGGTCCCTGGGGACCAGGGTTCAGAGACCCTGCTGTAGGGTACCCTGTGTGGTCATAAGGAGCGGAATGAACCGGGCTAAAATACAGGAGAGATTACCCCCATTCTAGAGGGTGACATAGGAGTGGGTTTCCACTCTCCTCCCATCCCAGTAACACAGATAAAATCCTGTCATTTTCCAATTCTGGGCCAGAGTAAAACAAAATCCAATATGTAACATCCAATCTCAAGGTAAAAATGACTTCAGCTCCTATGTCACTCTTGGTAATTAAAAGAAAAAATATCAACTACAGAAAAATGGTTGCATCTATCCTATGATTTCCTTTTGCCGTTGTCTTTTTTAAAAGGAAAAGTCTGTCTGAACTACTTTTTTATTTTTTATTCTGTTTTTTAAAATCCAAGAATTGCATATAAAGGATGCTCGATGCAACTGCTTTAGTGTCTGATGCCTTGTTTATTTTAGTCACATTTGGTTGCATCCACTTGGAGACGCTCAGCTTCTCTCCCCTCCATCGTTTTTGTGGTTTAACATCCATTTTCAGAGAACATGATGTAACCTGAACTATGAAATTTACATAACAGACACTCCTACACACCTTAAATACAAGATGCTCCATTGTTTTTTAATAAAAAATAAAAATTTCCAGTGTGAAACAAAGCTATAAAGACCAAACCAGTAATTACCACAACCCTCTCTCTACATCAACACTTAATTGTGTTTTAGTGGTTGCACTATCTTCCTCTAAACAGAAAATATATATATATCTAATCTAAATATTTGAGGTGAATAGGATTCACTTAGACAAAGTCTCCTTTTTAGGTGGCTTTCAAATGTTCTCCATAATTATATGTTTTTTGCCTTTTACTTTTTTAACAAAGTCAGTGTATAGTATTATCCGACTTTACATTTGCTGTTGTTACACTTTTATTTTTAACTGAACTGTATCCTCAGTTCTGTTTTATGATTTTTTCATTAGTATTCTGTTCATTGTTTCATTTAGTCTATTTTGTATGTTTTAGCTTCATGCTAAATTTCCTAAATGTCTTGCTGTAAACACTTTATCCCCATCCAAAAGAAAGTTTTCTTGTTTCTTAAAGATTTATTCCAGGTCAGTGAATTCATCCTAATGGAAGAGGCACAAAATGTTGTTTTTTTAAACATGAATATTAAACTTTGCTGGTTGTAATATTAGTTTTAATGTGTGAAGTAGAGAATGTTTAATGTTCAACGTTTTCCAGTCCAAGGACCCCCAAACTGATGGTGGGATGGAGCGGGGACCCCCTAATTATATATATTGTATGAAATTGTGTTATATCAAACTGGACCTATAATCACTCTAACAGGGGTGGAGCTAGATGGGGGGCCAGAGGTGGCCATGGCCACCTTTAGCCAATCATTGGCCACCCTATTTTATTTTTTTCGCCCTCTAATACAAACGGTGGCAGCAGTAATACTCTCAAGAGGAATGTTCAATCTTATCAAGAATTAAAATTTTTTATATATTAACAGTTACTTGAAAACCAAAACGCTATGGTTAATTATGCACAAAAAATACTAACATTAAAGTTGATATATATACAGAATTCATGCTCTTTTAAGAACTAAATCTTGTGTTATATTAGGTAAAGAGATAATCATGTGTCTCTGCAAGTCATCTAGTCTTCAGTGAAATCATAGATAAATAACTACTTCAATTTTTAGCTGAACAATTTTTGATAAAAGTAAGTAACTGCGGATCCAGACATTTGAATTTAGAAAGGTTCCTGGAGAGGTAGAGAAATGTCTTCAAATCTTGGAAACCAAGTCCAGTGGATTTTAAAATTTTTTGTAATTTATTTTATTTATTTTTTTAAACTTTTACGGAAAAAGTAGGTAAGTAATGACAATGGAAAAGATGTTCACACCAGACATTTTGTCAACTATACCTTTTATTTAGACTGCATGGATGTTTAAATCCATCCATCTATTTTATAACACGCTTAATCCCAATTGGGGTCGCGAGGGGTGCTGGTGCCTATCTCTAGCTGTCTACGCGCAAGAGGTGGGGTACACCCTGGACAGGTCGCCAATCCATCGCAGGGCAACACAGAGACAAACAACCATTCACGCACACCTAAGGAGAATCTAGAGAAGCCAATTAACCTAAAAGTCATGTTTTCTGGACCATGGGAGGAAGCTGGAGTAACCAGTGAGAACCCACGCATGCTCAGGGAGAACATGCAAACTCCAAGCAGAAAGACCTCGGGCCGGGAATCGACCCCAGAATCTTCTTGCTGCAAGGCAGCAGTGCTACCCACTGCACCGCCCAGATGTATAAATATGTGCATCAATTTTTCAGCAAAGGCTATAGGAAAGTATAGTGTGTCTTTCTTTAGAAAATATGAATATTGAGCTTGTTCCTGTTGGAAAAGTGTAGATTGACCCTGAGGTTCTGGTGCCTATCCACTTTTGGACACCCCTCAGTGTGCATTGGTTTTTGACTGGCCACCCCTATTAAAAGTTTCTGGCTACGCCTCTGCACTCTCATACAGATGGAGTAATGTAGCAAAGGTAATTTCTACCTGGGATTATTAAAGTATTTCTGATTCTGATACCTGGTTGATGGTGCTGTGCTGTGAATGAAACAGTGCCCAGCTTGAAAGAGCTCCTGTGTGTTGCTGAATGTGTGCATTGATGACTGAAAGACATCTTCTGCCTCCATTTATCTGTTTACTACAGTGTATTAAATTCATGTTAATGTGTGTTTAAAGACATTTCAATTAATGGAAAGAATTGCAGGGGGGGTGGGGGAAGTCTAATAATCCAAAACTTTCGTGACCCCCATGCAGTTTTCCGTGGACCCCTAGGGGCCGCGGACCCCCTGTTGAAGACCTACGCTCTAATGCATTACTAGCTGGTTTGGGATGAATTTGCCTCACTATAATGGAATCCCCAACTTTTCTGTCAATTTAGGTGATTTGAAAAGTAATTAAAAAATATATTCTAATAGATTGAAATTAAATCTTGAAGGTGTTAAAGTCAATACCGACTCAACAGACAGGAATGGAAGAGCAATATTTATTTGCTAGTAAACCAGCACGCATGGAAATCTCCCCCTATGTAATTATAAATAATGAATTCTAAGCCAACGCAAATATTAGGGTTAAGAGGCTGAGCTCGTAGATGATGATAAATAACATAGTTATGTATAATATATTACATTTCTGACTGTATATCCCTGTAATTATTACACACTGTAGCTTTAAGTGTATTCTAACCTAGTCTGACATTTTAAATGGATATAACTGCTATATTGTTTCAAATTAAGATTACATTGTGAAGTAGCCTAATAAATTATTTAAATATTTTAAATAATGAGTGTAATAGTTTTACACTCATTTAATCTTGTAATTCATAAAAAAAAAAAAAAAAGTTTAAAAAATTGTCTTCTGGTTGCTTTAACTGTTTTATGTTAAGTGACTATCCGCCATTTTGAGTCGAGGTAATGGCGCGAAAAGAAGGCAGGATTTAAATGGATTTATTGTAATATTTCTATTTATTCACTCATTTTGAATCTGTTGTTACTTTTCAGATATTTATTTAGAACCAGTCTCGGAAAAAAACTGGGTAAGTATTGTCCCGAATTTCGAACAGACCGCTGTTTGGTAGTCGTCTTAGCTAAAAAACTTCAGCTAGCCAAAGAGCTATTAGCATTTTAAGAGTGTAGAAAATGCCTCAATTTCCAAATAAAAACATGTCCTTTTCAAGGTTTAGTTGACGTATTGCTTAAATACGGTCCTAAACCCAGACGTAAGACCTTTATTGTTTATGTTAAACAAAATGACTGAAAAAAGCGGATTTTGTACATAAGATGATGTATGTTAGCTGCTCATTTAATCATGTTGGTTCTGCATACTCAACAAAACATCACTTTTAATCGCTTTAGTCATTACCCTTGTTGCACTTTTTCTTAAAATACTATTTAATTACTCAATTGGAGTAGACATTTAATGTTGGTCTTTGAGCAGCGGTTCACTAGTTCATACGTATCTAGAGAGCCTGAGCTGCTCTTAGTTTCCTGAGATTGTGCTGCCACCTAGTGGGTGGGTAAAGAAACGTTTAAGACTTCATCTTAGAAATGTACTCTTGAAAAGAAGTGAGGCATTTACTAGGTTTCTGATGAATGCTTGCCTCTTTAGAACTTCAACATGAGCTGTTTGGAAGAGAAACTGCTAGTTTCCAAAGGAAGTTGGGTTATTTATAACGAAGCAACAGTTGTTAAACATATCAGCTGACTGAAAAACAGCTTTTCTGGAGTCTCACAGTGATTGATAGATTAAGAAGAAGGGACAAGCTTTGATTGATTTTATGTACTTTACAAAATTATCCCAAAACTATTAGAAGTTAAGGAACTTCCGCCTTCCTGTATAGACATACTTTTTTATTGACTTTTCAGGATCTGTTCATCATCAGAATTAAAACAAAAAAAGGCGTTTATCACTCTGGCTAATGAATCTATAGAACAGTAAATAAATGTCAATGTTTTCACAGAAAAATACTTTAAAAATCGTGAGACATTATTAATGATTATGTATTGGTACTGGTGTCTCTTTAAAAGAAGTTCAAGCCAAACACATCTTTTTCCTGAGGCACATATCGATGTTTAATTTACTGAAAGAGGATGGTAGCTACATGAGCTTGTGATCGTAGACTGTGCCTTCTGTTTGTCTTCCTTTAGTAACACCGCAGAGGTAAACAACCCTGCTAATGAGGCTGAGATGGATGAAGAGACGTTGCTTTCAGACCAGGATTCTGTCAGTTTGCTGCAGGATCTTCCTGCCCCCCAAAGCAGAGCAGCTGCTGAGGACATGGCTGTGACTAATTCAGGTTCGCACACTGCAAACACAGAGATTAGAAAGAAGCTGGAGCTGAACCGGCAGAAAAGAAACAAACCGGAGATCAGCAGAGGCCAAGCGCCTACTGCAGGCTGTGCCACTTCCTCTTCGCTGTCAGGTGAGCTGGAAAACCCATACAGCTCCATGTTTACCAGGATTATTTGGGGTAATTTTTTTGTTTTGATTTTCTTTTAAAGCAAAAGTTCCAAAAAAACATCTGCTTCACAAGAGAAACAGCGTGGGAGAGACTCTTCTTCACAAGGCGTGCAAGAAAAGTGATCTGGCTCAAGTCAGGATGCTCCTTAAGGCTGGAGTCGGCGTCAACATTGAGGATTATGCAGGTTTTAGACAGTCGTAACATTTTAATCTGTTCCATCTGATTCTCTCCTTTATTGTCCTTCTGTCTGTTTGTCTTGACTCGATTTGTCAGGATGGACTGCTCTGCATGAGGCGTGTACTTCTGGAGACAAGTCTGTGGTCGAGGAGCTGCTGAGGGCCGGGGCCAACGTCAACGCCAGGTCCTGTGATGGTGTGACACCGCTGCATGATGCTGTGTCTGCTGGGCACTATCAGGTGATGGAGAAAACTACAAAAGATCAAATAATACACAGGCAGCCTGAAACAACCTTTCTCGTAAATGAAATATTACACTACTAAGAGTTGTGCTAAACTTCACCTGAGCGTGGGATCTTTGCAGCTCCTCCAAAATTAACGCTTTTTTTGGCTGTTTCTCTAATTTTTTTTAAATAGCTTTTTGCTTCTGTTCCGTTTTTCTGCACAGAATATATATATTTTTTTGTTATGCAGAAAAAAGCAAGGACAAAAGTGAAAGCAAATGACAGAGGAAACATTTAAAACCAGAACTGCTGCAGAAAACTCATAATGTAAAGTTTTTTCCTTCAATTATTTGTAGATTTGTTTCTCCATCTTGTTTGTTGCTTCTGGTATTTAATCTCTTCAGCTTGTTTAGCTACATTTTTTTAAGCCATTCTTTAGTCATAGCTATTTTGCTGGCAGTAGGAAGAATTTTGGTTAAATATTTGTTAAAAAGTTCTTTGTTTTTTGCCTGGATTCATCATTTATGCTGTTAATGGGTTCATATACAGAGAACCTGATATATCTCATTACTGAAAGGCCACATTTTTCTTTGATTCTACAATATATGCCTGTTGTCGGAGTTGTTTTAGGACATTTTTAGCTGTGGAGGAATACCTGATAGATCTTGATGCAATATTCTCAGCTGCACTAGATGGCGCCACAGAGTTTTAAATCCTGTTTTTCTGTATTAAACTAATTTCTTTGTAATAGATGCTATATACATTTCCAATAGGAAGTATAAAACATGTATCTGTTGATTAGGTTGTGAAAGTTCTCCTTGAGAATGGGTCAAATGCCTCTGACAAGAATCTTGGTGGACTTAGTGCTTTTGACATGGCTGAGGAGGAGGAAATGAGAAACCTGCTTAGTTTTCAAACCTTGACCTGCAGAGAACCAGCAGCATGTAGAGCACCAGGTGAGCACCTGAAGGAAAAGAAATGTAATAGAGGCTTGGAAAAAAATTAATTTGAGGGTTGGACTGCTCAACTTTCAGCTCTTCAATACAGCACTGCTGCTTTACTTCCATTACAGACATTCATCCAAGGGAAGCAAGTGCTGCAAGCAGAGAACCTGCTGATGTTCAGCTGAGACAAAACAAAGGCAGAGATAAAGTGAGACCCGTCCATTTAGTTTCCTTTTAAACTGTGTCTGTGTTTCTATACTTTTTTTGGCCTTCACTGATTTTTTTAGCTGCACCTTAAACAAATACAGTTCTGCGAAAACAGTTAATACACAAAGTAGCAGAGATGGGGGATCAACAAGTCATCTTTATGTCATGTATTTGTTCTGCTCAGCCACTGAATCCGGTGAGTCCGATCGGCACAGGTTAGTTTGATCTACAGAACTCACCCTGTTCAGTGGCTGGGCAGAACATGTTCAGGAAATAGGCCGTTTTTCAAGCCATAAGTACACGAATACGGACTTGTTTCCTCGCCAAGTATGTTCTTGAGGCAAGCACAGGAAAGTATGGACTTGTGGAGAATAGGAGCACGCAGCATAAATATGGGTCAATTGGAACAGAAGCGTACTCGTGACGTCACCACATGCTCGGCTAGTCTGAAGCGGCATTTCACCTCCTGTTATTAATAGTCTCTTGATGATTATAAATTCTGACTTTTTTCATTTAGTGGGGGAATAATAATGAACACAGTCAGATAAACACAAATCAAATTAATATTTTGCCAAATAAACCAAAAAACTCGCCATCAGAAACAGCGGTCCTTCACACACGGCTATGCCGAGAGAGGGCTGCTCCAGACGGGCTGGGATTAGACCAGGCTGCCGTTAACCTCGGAGGACCACTGGTTGCCACGGTCCTCTCAACTTTCGATTATTTTTTTTCTTTATGACGCACTAAATCAGTAAATGGGCCATATAGTGACACTTAAAAGTATTATGTTCTCGCCGCAAATGATCTTAAAATGTACTTTTAATAAACAACAGCAACAGAAAAGAGAACTTTTAACTTCATACTTTGAGCTCTGTGAGCTCCATGGAAAGCTGCTGCTACTGCAGTGCATGTTGGGACAGCTGTCAATCTCAAGAATGGACAAGTCTACTCTAATGCAAACTTGATAAAGAGGGCGGGGCGAGAACAACATCCAGGGACTTTGTCTGTTTTCTGTCTGCTGTTTCTGTGAATTGGAACAGCACTAGGGCTTAGGCTGATGACATTTCACGAGTAAACGAGAACTCACAAGTCCACATAAGGAGAAACGGCCACAGAAATGACTTATTGGCTCCAGATCCCCCATCTCTGCAAATTAGTTTCCAAATTTCAGAAATAACCCCTTTTTGTTTAGTTTAGATTGTTTTTAGTTTTAATTCGAGTCGAGATTTTTTTTCAGGTTTCCCCCCTACTTATTAACCTCTTAACATTCACCCAGTGCCGGCGGTCCGTTTTGTGTATTTACAATAAACACAGGAGTGCGCTTGAAAATAACACTGGTTAAACTTTTACCAATATAGACATATTATACATCTGGGCATACACTGTGTGATTTTTTTCAATTGTTGCACGCAGCTACAGCTCACACTGTATGACGAATTTGCAGGGTTTCATTATATAGTGTGAGTTCAAAGCTCGCTATGTCTGTTCTCACACTGTACATCTAAAAACCATGTCGGACTCAGCTCCGCAGTGAGATGGCCCTAGTCGGACTATCTGGAAGCCAAACGAGTAGAAGAGAAATATGAAACTCCCTGGAGTGAAACGAGTTGCCTTGGCAATTTGTGCAATTTTGTGCTGAAAGCCCTAAAAAGAAAAGGTGGCGACGTATTTGGACAAAGACATGGCTGAACAAACATGGCTACTACGGTCTGTCAATTTTACAGAAAGAACTCTTATTTCACTCGCACCCCCGGCATGCTTCTGTGTTTTCATCTGAGAGTAAGAAGAAGAAGAATCCTTGTTTGCGCACTGAGCGATTTGCCCACGACTGAAAATCAAACATGTTTGATTTTCTCCTGACCTCACGACTCCCGATCGGGAGGTGGTTGTGAGAGGCTGATCGCCCCTCGTTACCCCCGTACACTACACGATGCACGATCAGGCTGAAAGTTGGCTCAATCGGAAAATTCTCGCATGACTGCAAAGTCGGCCCGAAAAGGGCAAAAAATGGCACAGTGTATGGCCGGCTTTAGAAGGCTTAGATTCTCCACATTGGAAAGGCTGGTATTTTTCATATTCAGCTGGATGCCTCTGTTTAAGATGCTAAAAGCTCTGGGGAGCCAAAATTTTTTTATTATACAGAAAAATACTTTTTTTTTTCTTTTTTTATTGCTGCAACAAAAAAAATCAAATTAATTATTTGAATAAATTTTTTGCCTAGGCCTACAAACTATTCTAAATTAACTTGGCCAATTGTTCCTTTGTGACAACATGAAGTAGGCTAACTTTCTCAAAAGCAACACAGAAAATGTCAGAAACTAAATGTAGCAGTCCAGAAAGGAACAGAAGTGCATTTCTATAGCTCTGGGACTCTAGTGAATTATAGTGATGGGCATTGTCTGTGGATTTAGAAAACCAGCATTGGCAAGATTTACTCCCAATAGGACAGGACATTGCCTTAGATTAGTTTATTTCCACACTTGTTTAAATAAATTAAGCAACCAATGGAAGCTTTTCCCACACTAAACAGAAGCAAATACTGTAATTATGACAAAAAAAGAATGATCTGTTTGTTGACTTTGTGCAAATGATCAACCAGTAGCTCGTATTTCTGTCGTCTTCAGCTGCTCCTTTTAAATTTTTAAGACTCCTTATTTGGTTTTGGGAATATAATTAACTGTACACTACCTCCTAAATACTTCAGGTTGGGCCTGTCTGATGACTGTTGATAAAGAGAGATAGAGAGCAACAGCAGTGTTACCTTGGAGCAAATCAGGATCGCTGATTGGCAGGCTTTTAGCTAGCAGTGCATACGGTTGTACATTGCTCTGCCTTTACTGAAAAAATGTAAAATTGTACGTCCTGTTTTTCCCCTGGAAACTCTGCTCAAATGTTCAAAATTTCACAAGTAGCAGATGCTGGAGTTGGAACAATATAATTTTTTTTTGCTCGACGCACCAGATCAACGAATCAGAGAAGCTGATCTGCGAGCTGGCAGGGAGACAGACACAGTACTGCTTATGCAGAAAGCTCTGAGCACTCCTCTGAAACAAAACAAACGTTTATTAATGCCTAAATTAACTTAAAATGTGGAAATCTCCTGGAAAAATATGTTTGCTTTTATTATTGTGGTGTTGCAGTTTTTACCACATACCTGTAAAATGCTAACATCTACTTCCAGCCGCTAACAGTGGGGGAAAAATCCCAAGAGACAACGTCTCAGGCAGCCACCGCTGGGGATTCTCAGTGACAGTGCACCTCCGGCAGTAAAATAATATTTTAAGGCAGGATTTTAATCTTGAGGAACTGAGTGAACAGATGATGTTTTGAGGTGGATTTGTTTAAAAATATAGTAAAACTACTTTTTATTTACCACTACTTTTTACCCACTGATCACAGCAAATATAGCAAAGCTACTCTCTACCAAAGCAACTTTCTAACATTTAACACAGGAGCAGCAGAAGAATTAGATGCATCTGGACACACTTTACTGGACGCGCTCCAGGAGCATCAAAGGATGGCTTTGACGGGCATCTGACTTTAATGTGTACAAACATCAAAAATGGAACAGCAGCTGCTTTTTTGCTGCTCAAACGTGGCATTAAACTTTCTGATTGTTTGAATTAACCTATGAAACATAAAATTGTACCTGAAAATAATATCATGTCTTCCTTATGAAAATTCCACTTCTAGTCAAGCACAGATAGTTCCCATAATCAGGATAAAAGTTGTGTTGTTACAAACACAAAAAGTTACCTGCGTTCCACCTCAAAAGGCAGGAAATAACATTTCAGAGAGTCTACTTTTCAAAATTTTCTGGGGGGACCATACACACGCAAAACATAAATGATATGATATACCAAGGTGGACACGCTAACACTGGGTGATATGACCTTAAATCAATATCACCATAAATTGGGCAGTTTTACCTTGATAACAATAAATGCTCCGGCTCCTCTATCAGATATAAAGGCATGTGGAGGAAATGAAACTGATCAATTTATAATTTATGGAATGAATCGCATTAAATCTTTTTTTATGTATTTATTTATTTTTTTTGAGTTTGTATGGCACTATTGGCTTGTTTTTTTGTTTTTTGTTTTTTGACAGTAGGCTGACAGGAGAGGGAGTATGAGAAAGGGGGAGAGACATGTGGCAAAGAACCACAGTTAGGATTCGAACCCGGGTCGGCAGGGTCGAGAACTAAGGCCTCTGTACGTGGGTCATGTGCGTCTTGTACCCATTCAGGTTTAAACATTCAACAATGTCTCATTGAATAAGAGAAAAATTTTGCCTCTTGAAAACTTTCTGCATAAAAGTAATGGAGCCTTTTGCACATCTTGGAACTCAACTGCATAATCAGGACAGAAGTAGTGTTGTAACAAAGACAAAATTTTCAGCTGCATTCCACCTCAAAATGCAGGAAACAGAGAGTCTAAATTTCCCCTGGCTCCCTCTACGCCGCACAAAGCCTAAAAAAGAGATACACCAAGGTGTAAACCCTATGAAATATTCCAAGCTAAAAGCCTGATTGGTCCATTGCTATCAAGCCTCCAGCATTGATTGACAGCTGGCATCACGTCATGCCTTTTCATTATAATTTATGTGTGTGTTGTTTTTTTTATATTTCTGTTATTTTGCTGCTTATTTTGCCCTTAAGTGCTTTGGAAGGCTTTGAACACAAGAACAAAGCCCTGATTGTAACGTACGAAGCTCACATGTGATGATCTTCAGAAGATCTTACAGATCAGCTCCATATCTTGTGATTTAGAAATATTTCTGGAACCATGACCTATAGCGGTAAATAGAAAACACTGATATAAAACTTTCAGCTGATATCGGACATTACTTTTTGCAGTGATCGTGGTTATTTCATAAGATATATATTATAAAACATTCCCCTATCCTTTTGACTCCATGAAGAAACATCACTGCTGACTTTCCTCTGTTGAGATCATTACTACAGCCTCAGTTTACTGAACCCTGTTTGGTTTTATTCAGCCATTTACAGCTCTGAGTTGCACTGCGATTCTGCAAGATATTTCTTGGAAACAAGCAGAAATTTTGACCTTGCCTCTGACAAATCTTACGGATTTAGGTGAGAGCTGTTTGACTGTAGAAATCTCACAGCAGCGATACAACTGGCAGTTTCACCAATAACCTGCATTTTTCTTGTTTCTCAGAGAGATACAAAGAGGTTTTACTGGATACCCAAAATGTGCTGATGGATGTCCTGGTAAATCAACGTTTAGAGAAAGACACTTTAAGCCACAAGTTAAGGTCAGTTCAGGAAAATCATTGATTAAGTTTCTTCAGAATGGATGGGCAATAAAAATGTTTTAAAATGAAACATGGAAATGATGCAACACTTCCTTGTACTGTCAGTATTTTTTTCACACCATGAAATTATTTTTCATATTTATTTTTAATTGTAGCTCCACGTTAATTTACTTTGCTTTTATTTATTCATGTAAAATAGTCAAGAAAAGGTTGGTAGAAATTGAAGAATTCAAGAACAACAATAAGTGACAATAAGGAAATGGGTAAGGTGAGCTGTTGTTATTTTGTTTTTTAGCATCTTTATATAAGTAGCATCTCTTTTCTCACAAAAGATTTGGTTATATATTTTTTTATATTTAACCCCCCTCCCCCAATACATTGCAATAAACACAAAAATGGAGGCAAAAGATTCAGTCATCAATGCACACATTCAGCAACACATAGGATTTCTTTCAAGCTAGGCACCGTTTCATTCACAACACCTGTCCCATCAGAAGAAATACTTTAATAATCCCAGGGAGAAATGACTTTTGTTACATTAATCCATCTGTAATACAGTGACTATAGGACCAGTTTGATATAACACAATTTCATACAATATATATAATTAGGGGTCCCCGCTCCATCTCGCCATCAGTTTGAGGGTCCTTAGCCTGGAAAACATTGAAGATTCTACCATAGAGGAACAAAACATTACAACTTTTGATTGTTTTTATTTGTTTTTTCCTGGAAGACCCCGACTCATTCCAATATTTTCAATGGATTCTGCACACTCTCCAGCAAATGAATTCAGAGTCTCGGACAGTTTTCTTACTGGCTCCATTGTGCCCCATAATGGTCTGGTTCTTAATGCTCCTTCTGGTGTTGGAAGCAGAGCTGTAGTGGTTTCCAGTGGAATGAGACCTATTGTCTCAGATGGATAGTAGTGTGGCTCGCTGAGTGGCCACTGTTGGGGGCTGGTAGCCCCTGATGAGTTTGGGGTCTTATGTCCGTCAGTCATTGCGGAGGACCTATAAAGCGTTGGTAGATCTTTGTAGCTTCTGTAGGTGCAGGGTTGTTGGCCTGGTTTGCCTACAATGTGTTTTTGATGCTAAATAGGTAATTCCAAGGTTCACTTGGAATCAGACACTGCCCATTATTGTCACTTTCTCTGAGGGGGCAGTTATGAAATGTTATCACCCGGTCTGTATTGGTTCTAGAGGAATGGCGGTCTAATGGTTAGAGCATAGAGCTTGGAATCTGGGAGTTCTGAGTTCGAGCCCCACTCCCACAGACTGCCACCCTGGGTCCCTGAGCAAGATCCTCAACCTGTTATTGCTCCCCGGGTGCTCCACGATGGCAGCCCACTCCTTCCCAAGGGGAAGGAAAACATTTTCATCTTGTCCAGAGGTGGCATTCATTTTTCTGTGCTGTAAGGAATGGTGGATAGACCCAGGCATGGTTTTTATGATAAGAGCACAGGGTGGCATAGAACCATGCAGCCATTTGCTGTTGATTTTTTGCATATCCATTTAATGGCCCTAATGCCCAGTAGTAATTCACTCTAAATAAGTAATGCAAACGGTTACAGTGGCAGATTTATACTGGCAATTTATACTTTTCATGTATAGCCTCTGCAACCGTCAAATTTGTCTCTGTGCGAATCCACACCCCCCCCACAGAGGCTCTGTAACCATCGTTGCGCACCTCAAAAAAGTCCTGACTACACGTTCGGACGGTCACAAACCCGTGCAGACCTCAAGAGGAAGTGCACAGACAAAAACCAGCTGTGATTGGTCCTTGGTATGCCTTACCTTTCTGGCTGTCTGTGTGGTCATCCCAGGGCGCGCCATTTTTAAAAACCGAGGAGTAATAACAACAATGGACAACCATGACAAAAGGTTGATCGAGGAGGTTTGGAAGTACACCCACTTGTACAATGCCTCAGACATATGTTGTTTTGGAAAATAAACACTCTTGCTGGTGCTGCTGAAGAAGTTCTCTTGACCATCCGCCGAAGTTCTAGCAAGTTCTTGAATAGGCTCCCCCTTGCTCGCTTTGGCAGCAAACTGCTGTGCGTCCCTAGAAATTCCAGACCGACATTGCAGAAGCATACCAGTAAAGCTGCCGTGTGACCCGATGCAAGTTACATTTGATGTATGCGGATGCAGAAGTATAATCCGCACTTAAGGTCGCTAAAGTTGTCTGATATAAAACCTTTAAGTGACTTTAGAAAAAACAAACAAACAGTTTTTATCAAATTTAGACAGCATTTAACAGCGTGTACCGTTTAAAACAACAAAGTACAGTGGAATCGCTACAAACAGACACTGCCTTAGATTTTTGGGGGAATTCCTTTTAGAAGCGGTTGTGTTCCACTGGTGACCCAAGCTCACTCTGCTGTGCTGGTAAGGCATGGCAGGTTTGTTTACGTAGCACATTTCAGTAGCAAGATGATCAAAGTGGTTTATTCTAGTGCCATAAAGGCAACACAAATTATTAAAGAGAATAATTAAAATCAGATGATTATCTGCAGACAAAAACACAATAAAATTATTGATAAAATTATTAAAGTAAAGTTGGACTTATTACTTAATTAGAAGATGCTCAGCATGCTTCTTCTTCATTCTCCTGTGTTGTTTCCCTTCTCCTGTACTTGGCATTCAAAGCAGCAGACAGAAGAGGTGCCCCTTCCGGAACCATCTGATGTGCACAATGTTAGAATAAGTGCACAGCATCAACCAAGTAACAGTTTTGGGGGATGTTTTACCAGCATTTCGAAGTTCAAGTAGAGCGATTTATTTTAAATTGTTGCTCTGAAGTGGAAACACGTTTTCTGCCAATGCTCCCAGGCTGCTCGCGTGGAATGCCAATATTTCCAAAATGTCTTGTTTTTGTGTTGGATTAACAGCCCACCACAAACACCTCTTAATGTCCACCTTCAGTCAAAATGTTATTTTAGATTGGATAAATAACCTTAATCCATCTCAGAATATATTTTGTCATATTCTCCCATTTGCTATAATGCATATTTTTAACAATTTTACTGTTCTAGTCGCACTTTTACCCTTTGTAATAATTATGCTATTTCTTCACTCCAGGACTGTGCCTGTTTACTTTCACGAACGAGTGCTGAAAAGTAACGTCCTCGCCTTGGCTTCAAATCAGAGGAAATTGGTGAATCTCCTCCAGAATCAACTGGAGTTGGAAAAAGCTTACATTACAGCAAAGGCTAACATTTCTTCTCAGTCCTTGAATCATCAAGAGAGAGGTGCTCCATTTAACCAGCAGGAATCTCTACTGACAGATCACAACAGTGCAGAATGGAATTCTACTGGAACAAAGAATTATATTATGAACATCAAAGGGTAGATTTAATTTCATTATATTTTCATTTTGTTTAATTCAATTCAGTTCAATTCAGTTTATTTATATAGCGCCAATTCACAACACAAGTCATCTGAAGGCACTTTACAGTTCAACCAGATCATCCAGTCAAATTGATTCAAAGATTTCTATCCAAGGAAAACCAGTTGATTGCATCGACTTATTGGCTTGGATGCAGTCCCTCGCACTAAGCATGCTTGTAGCGATAGTGGAGAGGAAAAACTCCCTTTTAACAGGAAGAAACCTCCAGCAGAACCAGGCTCAGTGTGAGCGGCCATCTGCCGAGGCCGACTGGGGTTCAAGGAGACAGAAGCAGAGATACCAAAACTGTCATAGCCTAAAGCTTCAGCTGTGACTATAATCTATACTATAATCACTTCCGTTTTCCTTTGGATGTCATGTGACAGTTAAAATCTTAGAGACAGTACATTTTAGGTTTTCCTTTTCTGTTTATCCGAATTCCAAAAAGGTTCAATTAATTTCCCTCTGGGGAATGAATATGTATAATAAATGAATTGCAATATTGACCATTTTCCCTTTATTTCAGTTTTTTTTTTAAAGTGGTCATAGAATGCAAAACCGAGTTTACATTGTCATAGATGGAATAATGATAGTTATGTGGGTGAAATGGACGTACAGAGAAGTTGAAAACCCATTGACACCTCCTTTCTCTGCAAATCTCACAATTCTAAACTTCCACCATAATACGCGCGAATTCAGATGAAGCACAGAATTGACGTAAACTCCGTCCCCTGCTGGCTCCCTGCCCCCATTAGTCGGAGTTCCCGGACCAGGCCCGGAGCTCACGGCTTGGTTCTGCTGCACTGTAGTCGACCAAAATCCCGGATGATTTTGAAATTCCCCCCGGACATTTTTTTAGGTATGAAAAGTAGGACATGTCCGGGAAAAAGAGGACATCTGGTCACCTACCATATCAACAATTTGATGTTTCTATGAGTGAGTGCTTGTTGCTATGATGCGTCTTTGCTCAGCAGCTTCCCTTGTAAACCAACCAATCAGAGCACAGCTCATCAAAATATTCCTGAGCATACCATAAAAGGAAGAAAACCTGTCATTTCATTCTGGGGCTTTTAACCAGGCTTACATTTAGGCTCATAGAAAAGCAAATATGCCATTTTCAGCCCAACCAATGTTACACACCCTATTCAGAGACCTTAAGGACCAGCACCAAATACCCTATAGAATCATTCTATGACCCCTTTAATTTGTACTCATACTTTCCAGTAATATGCTTTATTATTCAGATGTCAGAGAGCTTTAACGGCTCTTTGGCAACCTTTGAAAGTTGAAGTCCAAAGCATATCTGTGGCATTTCCTGAGGCACACATCGCTGTTTAACTTACAGAAAGACTCCAGGGTTAATAGACTTTTAGAAGGTAGCTACATGAGCTTGTGATCGTAGACTGTGCCTTCTGTTTGTCTGCTTTTAGTAACACCGCAGAGGTAAACAACCCTGCTAATGAGGCTGAGATGGATGAAGAGACGTTGCTTTCAGACCAGGACTCTGTCAGTTTGCTGCAGGATCTTCCTGCCCCCCAAAGCAGAGCAGCTGCTGAGGACATGGCTGTGACTAATTCAGGTTCGCACACTGCAAACACAGAGATTAGAAAGAAGCTGGAGCTGAACCGGCAGAAAAGAAACAAACCCGAGATCAACAGAGGCCAAGCGCCTACTGCAGGCTGTGCTGCTTCCTCGTCGCTGTCAGGTGAGCTGGAAAACCCATACAGCTCCATGTTTACCAGGATTATCTTGGAGAATTTTATTTGTTTGGTTCTTTTTTATTTGTTGAAGCAAACGTTCCAAAACAAAGTCAGCTTTACAAGAGAAATAGCATGGGAGAGACTCTTCTCCACAAGGCGTGCCAGAAAAGTGATCTGGCTCAAGTCAGGATGCTCCTTAAGGCTGGAGTCGGCGTCAACATTGAGGATTATGCAGGTTTTAGGCAGTCCTAACATTTTAATCTCTTCCATCTGAATCTCTCCTTTATTGTTCAGTTGGTATTTCTTCTCTCGATTTGTCAGGATGGACCGCTCTGCATGATGCCTCTGCTGCTGCAGACAAGTCTGTGGTCGAGGAGCTGCTGAGGGCCGGGGCCAACGTCAACGCCAGGTCCTGTGATGGTGTGACACCGCTGCTTAATGCTGTTTCTGCTGGGCACTATCAGGTGATGGAGAAAACTACAAAAGAGACCTTTAGGATCTAAAATTAACCTCTCAAAACCCAACATACCCACCCAGTGGGTTTTGTAAACCGTCCGGTGGGTCACCCGGTAGCATGACAAAGCAGCCACAACAAGCAAGAATGTCTTTATTTATGCTGTTCAAAAAAAGACTTATTTTCGAGAAAAATAAAAACAACTTTGAGTCATATTTGAACTGATGCAGCTTGGGCGTTTTTACACATATTCTATTCTGTTACAACCATAACAGAATATAATAAAATCTCTTTACTTGTGTATTACTTAGAGCAGGCATGTATAACTTAATTAGAAATTGGAAAACATCTGACATAAATGAAGCAGAAATTCATAAGAATGAAATAGGGGCTATTTAAAAAATGACCAAACATCAGATCTGGCATGATAACGTCTTTATTTATTAATTACCTATTTTTTAAGGTATTTATTTAAAGCTACAGTGTGTAATAATTACAGGCATATAAAGTCAGAAATTTAATATATTATACATAACTATGTTATTTATCATCACCTATGAGCTCAGCCTTTTAACCATAATATTTGCGTTGCCTTAGAATTCGTTATTTATAATTACATAGGAGCGGGTCTCGCAGCCATGGAGGCAGACATCTTTGCGCTACGGCAGCGCAGAGGCAACAAACTAGCGATTGCGAGATCTCCCATGACGCTCAAAAATAACTACGGCAAGTTGAGAGAGATTAACTGAGACGGTACTGAACAGTAGATGGCAGTATTATGCCTGAGAAGCGTTTAGTCTGCCTGAAACCAAAGAAGAAGAAGAAGCAGGTATACTGCGCCTCAGTAACAAGAAAGGTGAACAAGGCGGCAGGCGTGAGTGACTTTGCAAACTGTTTGGCACTGTGTGGCCAAACATCAGACGAATGGAGGATCATGCCTACTCTGTATCACAACGAAAAGCGGCGGACACCGAACCCCCGTCATCTAAGAAGCGGAAACACGACGAGAATAAACGCAAGCGTGACAAGAAACGGCAAAAAACACGGATCAACATTGGCACGGCATTTACACGATGGAAGTCACTGATGGAGGAAAAAGGTTTTCAAAGTGACGCTCAAGTTGCCAGTTTTCTCTTGGACAGGTAATTAATCCTACACACACAATTGTCTAATATCACTGCAGTTTTTGGAGTACAGGATGCTCAGACCTGTCTAAAACAATAACATGCTGCGTGATGATGCTGTTACTCTCCAGTATACTTATTCAGCAACGTCCCTGACGTTTCACAGGTAATGATTCAGTAATTTTCTGTAAAATAATTTTCTGGATATATACCTCGGTTACTTCTCTCCGGCTCCTTTGGAGATCTTCAAGCCTTTCCTCCTCTGCTCTCACCCCGCTGGCTCCCCTCTCTCGCCTGGCCCTAGCTGCACGGCCTCCCTGCCTTCGCCCTCGTCCTCTCCCTCTCCCTCGCGTTGTAACCCCCGTGCCACCAAAATGACTTGGACTCTGTAAACGGGGGATATATATTCTTCCAGCGAACACAATCTCGCTGTTAAACTAATGACTACAATTACTTCGTCTGTTTATATCACCATGCAAAGCAGCTCACCAAGACGTCACAACGATGTAGAAAAAATAACGGGTATATTTATTATCTTAAGTCTACATGAAATCTATACCCTACACAGACTAATGAAATACTATCTGTAAAATTATCTATGTAAACAAACCTCATCACTTGAGAGGGTAGGTGATGTGGACGTCGTGGAAGAAATTTTGTCCCGTAACGCTCGCCGTACTGTTGGGGGGGAGAAGCGGTGGGGGGGAGATGTTCATGTTGCTGCGGTCTGTAGTCTGACCGCTAGATGTCGCTGAAAATTACACACTGTAGCTTTAAGGCATGTTATAATATTTTTGTCTGTTTTATTCTTCCTTTGTATTTTTTTTTACCATATTTATTGCATATGCACATGAATTATTTTAAATGGTTCCTCGGGCCAATCAATATACAGTGCTTGATACTCTCAATGCTACAAGCTGGGCTACCCTCTAGTAATACTGAAATATTACTATGTCCATCAGTTATTAGATACTGTATATCTAACTGAAGTAGCTGTTGGAAACACTCAAATATTTAGAAATAAAAATAATTAAGATTAATAGGGGTGCCCAAACTTTTTCATATGATTGTACATTTGTCAAATGAAGTTTGAAAGATGTTTTAATTTTTTTCACTTTGTTTTCACATAATAAAAATAGGACATTTAACATTAATGTGTGCACCCTTTAGTAGTTGCACTGCATATGCCAGGAAACCTATTTTCTTTTATATATATATATATATATATATATATATATATATATATATATATATATATATATATATATATATATATATATATATATCATTATGGAGGGCTAACCACAAGATCTTCTTTGTAAGGCTGATAAAAAGAAATGCTCTATATAGTTGTTAGATGTGTTTCACTGCGATTTCTGAAGCATTGCCTTGTTATGATATATTCTAATTGATACACAGGCTCTCTGCTGAGTTAATTATCATAAATGCACAGATAAGACTATGCATTAGAGCTTTTCTAACAGGATGTTTGACGTGTTAATCTGTTTTTTTAGGTTGTGAAACTTCTGCTTGAAAACGGATCAAACCCCTCTGATGGGAATCTTAGTGCTTTAGACATTGCTGAGGAGGGTGGCATGAAAGACCTGCTCAGGAAGTTTCAAACATCTTCTGAGGGGCAGGGTAAGCCTTGCAAAGGGTCAGCACCATGTGGAGAACCAGGTGAGAAAAATGGGGGGAAATGGCTGCATTGAAACATCTGGTGGGGGCTTGAAAATCCTAAAACATTTTGATTTTTTTTTTTTCTTGAAGGATCTAAGCACAGGACTGTGACAAACTTTAATCAAAGAGGAGTGGGAGATGAAGGTGCAGAAAATACTCATGTGAGAACATTTACATATTTTCCTTTTCTAATACTTTTTATCAGGAGATTAACGGTGTTAAGAGTACAATTACTGTTTAACAAAGGAGCAGGTTGGTTTGGATAACCCTTTGATCTTTAAAAAAGAAATCTAACTTGATTTTCTGAAAGAAAAGCTTAAATAAGAGAAAGCAAACATTCTGTTGTCAAAGATTTACATACAGAGTCCTATACATTAATGCATAACAGAACAATGCCGTGTTTGTTAAGTCTCATGCTGAAAGGTGCCCTCAATAAATAAAGATCTGTAAGGCATATTGTCCAGAGCGTAGGAGAAGACGGCTGCCAAATCCAGTGGTTTAAAAGCACTCTCGGACAACTGATAAGGGAATCTAGGTCGATATTCGATATTAATGTTGCTGTGTGATAACTGATATTTACTGGCATGTATTTTCAAACATTTTCTTACCCTTTTGACACTAAGAAAAAGACCATTAATGACATCGGCTCTCTTATCCTATTAAACACCCAGAATCCTTCACTGCCTCATTACTGACCTATAACCAATTTAATACAACATGGCCAACCACCTCCCTTCCTCATGCAGATACACTAACAGCCACAAGAATGTAATGAACATTGAATTTAGTATCAGTCCAGATTTACTTGAGTGACTGATACCGCCATGCTTCATAAATGTTAAACATTGGCTTATACCGATATATATATAGATATGTAGAGATATATAGAGATGTATGTCTCCCTCCACGTCATCCATTTGGTCAGAATTCAATAGAGAAAGAATTCAATCAATAGAGAAAGGCTCAGCTTGTAACTTTTATGACGTTTTTATCAGTCTCTAATTTATGCAGATTCTACCCTTGTTATTAGTTAGACTAAACAAAGCTTTGTCTTCATACTTTCTAAACCTGAAGGCTAAACAAAAACCCTCGATGATCCCACTTCAGGAGGGTGCTCGACAAGAAAGAGACGGTTCTTCTCAACAGGAGCTGAGTCCAGGTGTGTTGCTTGTTTATCTGAACACGATGAAAACTGTTTGGATTGGATGGACTAAAACAGATACAGAATTAGCAAACATCAATTTGTTGAAGAGTGTTTTTTTTAGCTAATGTATTAAAATCACCTTCCAAATTGAATGTGTCTTAGGTAAAGTCTGAGCATATAAAAACAGTCTTCATTAATCAGAGAAAAAACACACAGACAGAATTGCTGGTACCCCACTTTAAGTTAAAGAAAAAGCCACTGATGTTCGGTGGGGTTTCAGCGTCACGCAGCTGAAGCTCCTCCTATTTGATGATATAATATATATATATATATATATATATATTTTTTTTTTTTTTTTTACACCTAAGGCCAACAACAGAAAATGTTTCTTGTATTTGATAAATGGCAGACCAAAAATAAACAGAAAGTCCCTTCCCCACAAAATAAATGTCCATGTAAATAAAATCCCATACACAATTATTTAAGTTTTACTTTGCACCATTATAATCACAACATCACAAACAAAACATACATGAAATAGACTTACAAATCAGATGATGGGAATCTTGCACTGATGCATTTTGCTTCAAATATAATTTTTGATATTTCAAATATTTTAATCCGTGACATCACAGGCTTCCCAAAAGTCCTCGGTTACATGTCAGCTTTTTCTTTTTTCTGATCAGCGAGAGATAAAAACAATCCAAAACGGAGGGATCAGAATATCACTACGAGGGACTGAACAGCCTGGGATGTACTTTTAAGTTTCTGTATTAATAGCTGTAATACAGAAGATATTGTGGCAGATATGTTTCTGTCACTGGAAAACTGACTTTTTTCAAAGTAGAGTCAGGAACCACCTTAAATAGCGGACAAATCATTTAAGTGGATGTCATGAATGGGTGTAATAAAGGTGTGTCTTAAGCTGTCAAAGGACAGGAGGGGAGAGGGAGAGAGGAAAAAGTGCAGCAAACTCCGTGCAACAAGCAGGTTGTAACAAACTGATTATTAGATTGTAATATGTTGTAATATAATTAGTGGACACGCCTTGATTTAATGTCCCTTTGGTCACACTATTTTCAGTCTTTTCTAGGGGTACCATCATTTTTGTCCAGATCTGTTTCTTGAGTTTATTTTTTAAAGTCATTCTGTCGAAGCGTGGTTGAAAAGCAGTGTCTGGCTTTCATTTATTAATTTTCATAATTATTTTAATAATTATTACCTTTTTAGATTCATTTATTTCTGTAAACATTGTTTTTTTCTAAATTAAATGAGGGGTACCAACATTTTGTCCAAGTGTCTATATCTCTATATCAGGCCTTTAGTTCCAGATGAAGTCCAAATTAATCCGTATTTTTTATATATTTGTATTAATAAATAAGAAAAGAATAAATAAATAAATATATATATATATATATGCTTTTTGTCTACCTGACTTGTGTTGTAACATTATGCATAGAGATTTTATCTTTTCGATTTCCTGCAGAACCAGTGTGCCAACTGCAACTGTTGAGAAATATAAAAGTTGTACATTTGATGGACGATGATATGTTCATACCCAGTGCTTTAATGGATTACTACTGGGACAAGCTTCTGAAGCAAAACAGCCAAGAATTTGACGACTGGGAGACCCCTCTCTAGTTTTGTTTTAAAATATTTAAGTAGGTGTTTGCTTATCATTCTGTATGGATTCTGTTTTATTTCACACTTTTATTTATTGTGCATTTGCCTACAGTCTATAGACAGCATTTAAATTGTTTATGCCTCAGAAGTCAGCAAGACGTATTTATTTGTTAACTTGTTATTTATATTCTGTAGAACCGTATCTGATGTAGAATGCTTCCAAAGTATATTAAGGTTTCCATGTCCTCTTTGTTATTTATTAACTCGGTTCATAAAACAAAACAAAGTTCACTGTCATTGTTTGAGCTTAGGAAATTTTCCCCCTTAATTTCCAAATATTTATATTAAATAAAGGTTCTTGTACTGTAGGTTGATCTCAGTTTCTTCTCTTTCATTCTGCATTTCTCGCATCCTCTGGTAAAAACCCACATACTTTCATTATAACAGGACAGATATAGTTACATAAGACAGTTTGATTGCACTGCTGGTATACCATGATCTGTATTTGATGTCGGAGCTGTGTAGAGAAACGATAAAACTCCCAGAATGCATACAATGTTGGATAATCAATATGAATAGTTTTGGATTAACATAAAAAAACATGTTGGCTTGAAGGTATTGTGGAGGATTACTGCCAAATATTTTAAAACACCCACCCTTTCCACTTAAATAAAAAATGCACATGCAAGAGCATGCACAGCCCACTTCTCCTCATGCTTGCTCGATTTAAAAGTTCATACAAGCTTACTGTGCCTGAACGTCCGCCCTAACCCCTAAATCCCTCAATCACTATATAGAGCGGGGACTATATAGTGGACATTATAGCAAACTCAGTTAATTTACTGCTTTGCGAGGAGAGCTCTCCGCGCAATGCATTATGGGATATGTCTGCCTCTTCCGAGACCTTTCTATTCTTCTCATTCATTCGTAGACCCTTTTTCTCTTATGACCCTCGGCCATTTTCAAAGAATCGCAGTGAGAAAGGTGAGCTTCATTGTCTGAAACTGTTGCTCACCACAGATATACGCCTAAAAGTGCACACGTGCAGAAAAAGAAAGCTAACGGGACGAGCATGTAGGATGACCTTATGTAGACATATCACCAGAATGATTGACAATTAGGAAGACCACTTATTTAGATGATCCACCCGTAAATAAAATACCGTCCTCTACACCTTTAAAGTTCCAAGAGTTTTTACCAGATCAAACAATCCCAGCGGTTCTGGAGAGGACATCTCCTCTGTGAGCCTGTTTCTCCTACATATACCCTCAGAATCTTCTTTGTCTGCATGGCAGCACAGACTTTTGGATCCATCTGTACAGTAGAAAGGAAAACCTTAGAAATGGTTGCTGGTAGAGTTTTCACCAGGGGGGGCTATTACTTCAAAATAGATGTATACCAAAAACCAATCAAAGGTATACTAAGGTATCACACCAGTACAGTATATTTACATGAATGCAAACAACAAAAAAACAACATTGTAAAATTTTATAAACAGTGCTTTAAATCAGTCAAACCTGTCTTAATCTATGTAAATCTACGTTTGAAAAATGAGGCAGGGAAGCAGAATAGCTGAAAAGCGCACATTCACAATGATATTAACAACTAGTAGCATCAGGAGGGCCTGGTAGGTGATTGAAGACCAACACCAAATATAATGTTTTAAATTGAAAATATGTATTAGTATAATTTTAACAGGCTGAGGAGGACAACATAAAATAATGAGCAATGACCATTAATTTAAAGGTTTTATGCTTTCAGTCCTTCACAAGTCCAAAAGATCCTTAAATTGAGACCCCTCCTGCAAATAAATAAATAAATACAATCCTGAAATAATGAGACAATAAAAAAGTTATTTCTGTCCAAGTCAATTTCTCGTACCACACAGGTAGCAGAGGGTAGCTCGCCATATGAGTTCATTTTCTTCCTTTCATTCCAGGGAGGAATAAAAGCTGACCTAAAATGGTCACACAAAAATGAGTATTTCATTCATTTATGAAACCATTATCTATTTACCCGCCAACCATTTAAAATATTTGTCAGTTTACAAAAAGATAAATGTCAAGCTGAATCACTAAAAAAGAAACGTGATCTGATCCCATTCGGAAAATAATCGCTACCTTATCAAAATCATTTATTTGAAAACATTTTTGTTCAGATATAAGAAAAATGTATTAAGTTAAAAAATATCAGCTCAAACTTTTTTCATTAATTTATCATTCATTAAGTTCATTTAACTCCTCATCAAATAGTTTGGAATTAATTGCTTATAAACTTGCTCAAGCAAAGTTAAAACAAGCTGCTGTTTGAACAGATCCCATAAACAGTTCTAAATTAAATAAAACCAACTAAATCATTATAACTTTTTCATTAGTTAATAGTATGAACCTTTAACTAAAATTCGGCTTGTAAAACAAGCCCCATAATCCTTACTTTTTAAGGAAAATTTAAGTCAAAGATTAAGAGTGAGTAGT